TCCTCCTCGGTGTGGATCACCCTCCCCCCCCCGGCGAGTATCGCGGGTCCACCCCTTGTATATATATATTTTAGAAATGATTTGGAAAATATTTGAACACCTTGTCTTAAAATATTTTATTCATCATGTTAAAATAAAACGTTCCTAAATCATCTTTTTTCTTTCCTTTTCTTTTTTCAATTTTTCCAATTTTTTGGAAAAAAACAAGGCTTCAGGAAAAAATGGAAAAAACCGCCCCCCCCCATTTTTCCGGTTTCCCCCCGGGCCTTCACATCTCTAGTGAGGACCACTGTTGGAAAAAATTCCACAAAGGAACAGTTTTCTTCTAACTGGGCAACCTTGCTGTCATGACAAGAGCCGTTCTACGGTATTATGTGCCCAGACACTTGTTGGGTTTGTGGAAGCAATAAGCGTCGTCCCTTGGAACAGCTGTGGAATTTGTGACAAGATGAGCTGGTAAACACAGTCTGTCCAGGAATCCAGTCTCAGGCTGCTTTTACAGAGAAGCGAGAGGCGATCACAACACAAGGTTGCTGAACTTGAGTTCATTCGTGAATTCAGAACAATGGGACACAACACCTCGGCTGAATAAGGGCATGAGATTCCTATCTCACTACTGATTTCCTGCCCCTAAGCTTTTCTCCCCAGCTCTAATCAAGCTGATTACATTTTGCACTGTACCTTTGCATCCTGACTTCTTCTTTGCAGCATCCCTCCCACCTTCTTCCTGGGATATAAAGGCTCAGGGATCGCCATTCCCTCCATTTGACTCTCAAAAGCTTATACTCTGGAAATCTTGTTGGCCTTTAGGAGCACCTTAGGAGCACATGAATATTACACGTCTACTACAGACCAACATGGCTAGCCTCCTGAAACTTTCTCCTCTTTGGCATCCAAACTGGAAGATTTAAATATATATATATATTTTGGAGCATCTACGTGATGTCATGCTCTAATTAGCTCCATTCATCCTTTCCCCCATGTTCTTTCACAAACTTGTTTTGCTACAATCTTTCGGGGGATGAGCGCAGTTCAAGTGGGTTATCATGCTGTCTAGATGGAAAGAGGCTAACTTTCGAAGGTCCCTCCCACATTGTACCATTTTCCTTCCATCTGCCCCTCGCAGCTGCCATTTCCCACACCACTGGAAGGCTTCTTTACGGGCATTTTAAAAGCTGCGGTGGCTCAAGTGGTTAAGACGCTGAGCTGCAGGCTGTGGAAGGTCAGTAGTTCAGCAGTTCGAGACCCAGGTGCCGCATGACGGAGTGAATTCCCGTCTCTAGTTCCATCTCCTGCCAACCTAGCAGTTCGAAAGCAAGACATTGCAAGTAGATAAATAGGTACCACTTCGGTGGGAAGGTAACAGCGTTCCATGCGCCTTGGTGTTTAGTCATGCTGGCCTCATGACCACGGAAACGTCTTTGGACAGCGCTGGCTCTTCGGCTTTGAAACGGAGATGAGCACCGCAAACCTAGAGTCAGATTTGACTGGCTTTCGAGCAAGGGAACCTTGACCTTTTATAGTGCTATACACGTGGGCCTTCTAAAGCCAAATCCTATGCGTTCCCAGGGGTGAACTGTACTCTGCAAACTAATGGAGAATCCGGGTAGGATGGCTTGTATTCTGTGAGACCTTGATGCTGTTCAACACACTGAATGAGTATGCCAAAGTCACATGCATTATTGTCTTTATTGTGCAAATCTTCACCACGATGCATCATTCCCTGATTCCACAGGGCTCCCTGGCTTAGCAGTCGTGACCATCTTCCTGATCAACAAACAGGCTTACGGCATCCACAATACCAAAACCAACTCTCCTCACAGCAACGAGACCATGTGAGTTAGAAAAAAACATGACTTCTTCTGCAGAGTATTTATGTTTGTTTTAAATGTACTTTGGTGAATATTATTTTATTTATACAGTACTATAAATTTATGTGGCCCTCTACTTTTTAAAATTTTCATATATTTAAAGTATTTCTAAACTGCTTCTTTGTCGCACACTCTAAATAGTTCCTGCATGTGCAGACTGTATATTTATTTATTTATTTATTTATTTACTTGTTCGATTTATACCCTGCCCTCCCCGCCCAGGTGGGCTCATAAAACCACCAACAAGTTATAAGGCAATTGGCACAGAAAGTCATTCTCCAATGGCCCTTTTAGATCGCTGAGCCTTCTCTTCTCCCAAGACATTCAAAGCTGCTTTGAATGAGCCCGTTTGGTGTAGTGGTTAAGAGCATGGACTCTAATCTGGGAGAACTGGGTTTGATTCCCCACTCCTCCTCCACCTGAAGCCTGCTGGGTGACCTTGGGTCAGTCAGAAGTTCTTTCAATGCTGTTCTCTCAAGGGCAGTTCTTGAAAGAGTTCTCTCAGCCCCACCTACCTCACAGGGTGTCTGTTGTGGGGAGGGGAAGGGACAGAAGTTTGTAAGCCATTCTGAGACTCCTTCGGGTAGTGAAGGGCGGGGTATAAATCCAGTCTCCTCCTCCTTCCTCCTCCATGGGGTTTCTATGCAGTCTCCCAGCCAGGCATCTTAGTTACAACAAGGAAAACTGTAGCATATCTTTCTTCAGATCAACACATTAGTTCTTTTCAGACTCTGCTGTCATGTGTAGAGGGAAGCCATTAACGAGAATGCACGTTGCCGCCAGTGCTCCTGATATGACCCTGATGGGTGTAGTTGCCATTTTGGGTGAAATCCTCAGGGTTTCATGGACAGCTTCAGTAAATGCACAGAGAAATCTGTGAAGTTAATGAAATGGGGACCGCACATATCGGGAACATCGCAGAGAGCACACGCTCTTGTTCGGGGGCTCCTGGCACATGAGGTTGTAACATCTGAAAATGTCTGTTTTCTTCCAACGTTCAGGGCCCTTCAACGGACTACGCTCCCCGTTTCCAAACTCTTGACAAATGAGTTCTTACCCAAAAGAGAGAACACACTCCTACAAAAATAAGTACTTTGCATAATTTGTACTGATGCCTTCCAGGGCTGAAAGAGCAGAGCCCCTGCTAGTTAAATCCAGGGCTGTGTCCTTCAGATCATGGAACTGGCAAAAGAGACCCTCAAGTCATCTAGCCCCGTGGCATAAAATCTGCCCTTCCTCTGCTTGTTTTCAAGTCAGAAAGACTGTACAATGTCAGAGGCAGCAGATCCCAGCAGGGGTGAAAGTAACCTGGTACGGAGTAAGAAAGTGGTATAAGAAAGAAAGTGATGTATCTTATCTTCTGCTTCACCTTTGACCTGGATGGCCCAGGCTAGCCTGATCTCATCAGATCTCAGAAGCTAAACAGACGCAGCCCAGGTGAGTACTTGGACGGGAGAACACCACAGAAGTCCAGGGCCGCTATGTAGAGGCAAACCACCTCTGTTCATCTCTTGCCTTGAAAATCCTATGTGGTCGCCAAGAGTCAGCCACGATTCGATAACATTGTCCACCCTCATTGCCTGCTTTGTGCCCTCCAAGAGAGACAATATTTGTTAAAAATATAAGTTACTTTCACCCCTGGAACCTGCTGACTTTATCCTGTAGAGAATAAGAATTTGCTCACTTGACTGAGCTCAGACAAAATGCACTGAAATACACTCGTCCTGTAGAAAGTGATGGTACCACAGTCATAATTTTATTGCCTCTTCCCATGGGTGAGAAAATACAAATTAATACTTTACAAGTGCCTCAAATATTCTGCCTCTTCTTTCCCCAGGTGTTGGATCACATCCATCAAAGTACAGTACTTCAACGTGATTTACCTCAGCGGCACTGTGCTTTTCAATATGAGCATCTTGACCCTTGTGGTTCGGCAGCTGAGGCGGCTCAAAGCTAATTCTCCTCAGCAGAAAGAGCATTCCTGTAGGGACATGGTGTCAGTTCTTGGATTGACATGTCTCCTGGGCACTACCTGGACACCGGCGATCTTCTCATTTGGGGTCTTCTCCATCCCACTGCTCGTCCTGTTCACCGTCCTCAACTCGCTTCAAGGTTTGTCAGCTGTGTGCGCCACTGAGAGCCAAAAGGCCTCTCAACAGATTTCCATTTGTGAAAGTCTCGATTCATTTGAGGTTGTCTTTGCTCACAGGGCTCGTCATCTGCCTCTGGTACTGCACCTTGAGATGCCGCTCACAGGCAAGTGTCTCAGGAGGGACTTCTCATCCGTCATCTCAATAACTGCAGCATCACGGGAAAGGTGATGACCCCAGGCCAAGCATGAAAAGGATAAAAGCAGCTTTTTGAGATCAGACTTCTCTTCAAAGACAGCAGCCTGCTGTTGTGACTCCAAGCTGGCCACAAATGTAAGGGACCAGAGGGGTATTCTGGCACACCCTGATCTACTCTGGAGTTCAGTGGGTTTTGCTGTCCAAAGAGGGATCCTTGCAGCAGGGGGAAGAAGAGAGCTGATGTGACTCCTAAGCAGTGTGTGACCTGATCCCTCATAGTGATCTGAATCCTGGACATTTGGAGGATGGGGCGATATTTACCAGCTGATCTCCAGTCTGGCTGGGCAGGTGTCTGTTCTGTGTTCCACAAGGACTCTTCCCTGTACATCCAGAATCCATCAGACAAAGAGACAAAGAAAGTCTAGTTCAAAGCATATCTTTGTGATTATCAGGGCTCTTTTTGTAGAAAAAGCCCAGCAGGAACTCATTAGAATAATAGGCCACACCCAACAACAGAAACTCATTAGCATATTAGGCCACACCCCTGACAGCACAGCTCATTGGCACATTAGGCAGCACCCCCATGTTACCAGAAGTGTGGTCATCCAGCCACACCCACCTTTTGCTTGTTATTCTGTTTACCTTGTTTGTTGTCAAAACCCAGGGCTTTTTTGTAGCAGGAACTCCTTTGCATGTTAGGCCACACACCCCTAATGTAGCCAATCCTAATGTGTTTCTGCTGTTGGGTGTGGCCTATTATGCTAATGAGTTCCTGCTGGGTGTGGCCAACTTGGGAGCCAGCCGGAACTCCGTTCCTGTGCGTTCCTGCCCAAAAATAGCCCTGGTTACAATACTTCCTTCCGGCAGACTTCCACACATCAGTGACACAGAGAATAATGGAACGGGGCTCTCTTAATGCACAGATCTTGTATTGTGGTAATAAGAATGGGAAATCCACAGTGCCTGAGAATCTCATGGTGGTTCCTAAATATTTTTGCACTTACTCTCTGGAAAGACTTTCTTCTGCTCTACATGGTAGGTGATGGAGTGAGAATTTACTGCTTTCCACCGACGTAGCTTCCTGCTCTCTTTACACTAACTTTTGAACACAGGACACCTGGATGCTGAGAACCTTTCAGGTCTTGCCAGTTTATGGTAAAAGAAAGTGCTTGACTTTCATGTGCATTGTGTGGAATCCAGTTCTCTTCCTTTAAGGCAACTGTTCTGCTGCAGAGTTACCATATTTCCCCCATCACTTAAATAACAATGCACTGATCAAGGGAAAATGCCGCATGACCTCAGCTAGCATGTCCCTTGCTATTCCAAGCTCTGTGTGGAATGTGGTCAGATAAGGGACCTCATCAAGTTGTAATGCCATAGAGTCCACCCTCCAAAGCAGCCATTTTCTCCGGGGGAACCGATCTCTGTCATCTGTTGTATAGTGTTGGTGATATCATTAGTAACATGAATGAGAACATGAGAGTTCTTATTGGATCATGGAGGAAATCAGCCTCATGTGCCGCAGCCCCCACCCCACTTGCAAAAAGACCCTCCAAAGGGTCTTTTTGTGAGCCGAGCATGCGGCCCATGACCGCCCCTCTCCCTCCTGCTAGATTTAAAGGGCCACAATTGGGATCGGCGGGCCATGGGGTCGCCACCGATCACCTGAAGCCTTTTAAATCTGGCAAGAGGGGAGAGAGAGGGGTGGCCGGGCGGGTGGTCACAATTGGGGGTGGGGCTGCCCCCACTGGCCAGCTGGCCAGGGTGGATCAGAGCCAGTGTTCCCTCTAAGCTGAGTTAGTGTGAGCTAGCTCACAGTTTTTTAGCCTCCGGCTCACACATTTTTGTCAGCTCAGGAAGGACGGCTCCAGAAGAAACTAATTTATGCAGTGGCCAAACTGCTCGCTCACAACTCTAATGCCAGTAGCTCACAAAGTAGAATTTTTGCTCACAAGACTCCACATCTTAGAGGGAGCATTGATTATAGCCTCCAAAAGTGGGGGAACCCCCACCTAGACATGGGGGCTGGCAACCCTACCCGGAATTATAACTGATCTTCAGATGACAGAAATCAGTTCCCCTGGAGAAAATGGCTGCTTTGGAGGGTGGACTTTGCTGAGGTCCCTCCCCTCCCCGGGCTACACCCCCAAATCTTCCGGAATTTCACAACCTGTAGATGGCAACTTTGCCTGGGTCCGCATCTAGCCTGGCACTGCTGGAGAGGGAGGGGTTTGAGGAGGGGCCGGGCCTCAGCATGGTACCATGCCAAAGAGTCCACCCTCCAAAGTAGCCATTTTCTCCAGGGGAGCTGATTTCTGTCAGCTGGAGATCAGTTGTAAAAGCGGGTGATCCCCAGGGGAGAACCGGAGAAGCCCTCTATAGAATTGTTGACTTGTGCATTGTAGCACTGTGAGCTTTGTTTCCAGGAACAACAATTTTGCCTGAAGAAGACTCTCTCGAAACACGCAATTTTTGCCTGGGAGGCGTGTCGCTTTGATGCTTGCTGTATCTCTTTTTTGGATTGCTTAACAGCCTGCTGCATCTTTCATCATTGATGACTGCTGCATCTTTCATCAGTCTCTCATCAGAAGCAAGATCGTCTACACCATTGAAACCTGTTTCTGTAGCTGTGGACTTTTATACTAGACATATAATTTTCATTAGGCTTTTGTAATATAATGAATAAGATACCCTAGAGTCTCTATTGTATTCAAGTATATCATTTATATCAATATATGAAGATATAGTAGCATAATAGTATTGTGTTTTGTTCTAACACGGTGTTTTTCTACATTTGCTCCCACCGGAGTGCTGGCAACCATAGATATTAACATTTACTTTGTTGTATAAAATAGGCTTCGCCCAAGCATAACTAGTAAGGCAGAAGGCCGTGGCCTATTTTCACATTTGGTTCTTATGAGTGAACACACAATTGGGCTAGTAAGTATTGTTATTGTGTGGTCTTTGGGGACATGGCATCTGTTATGAGTCAAGAGGTGAGGCCAGTAGGTTTTTCCCACACCCGTGCTGAGAAAATAGTGCTGGGGGAAACACCAAGTTTGTGTGCAAGAAAAAAAGTGTAATTTCCCTTTTGACGCCCTAGAAGGGAGGGGCCCCAAGTTCTCAGGCCTACAGCTGATGAAGCAGAAATAGGAAAGCCCAAGATTGAACTTCCACTAGGAAAGTTCCTTTTTTAGCATTTAGAAAGGGAGGGGGAGGTTTGTTTCCACTTTTCTTCTCTTTCACACCCCTGCTTCTATTGAGGTTAACTTGTGTGATTAGTCCAGTTCCCACTAGTTAGCAGAGTGCTTAAATAAAGCTACAAAAGCAGCAGTGTTACTTTACCAGGTTACTCAGCTTACAAAGCTACACAGAGCTACATTGAAAGTTTAACAGAGAAATACCTCTCTTTATCTGAGAAATACACTTTTTGGGTAGGAAAGAGTAGGTACAGGATAGTGTACTAACTTACTAGCTAAGGATGGAAGCAGATGGGGAGAGGGCCATCTGCCTCATGATGCCAAGAGAGGACAGCATGTCATCGCTCTTAGTCTGTGCAGGGAGAGAATTTGTCATCATCTGAGAGAGTGAACCAAAGGAAGGAAATTGTCCCTGAGAACACAATCTACTTATCAAAGGGGACAGCGGCAGAAGAGTAAACACAGGAAGAAAGGTCAGTGTGCCTATCTAGTCTCTCTTGCCACAAAGTCTGAAGGCTGAGGCAGAGACATCGCACCTGGAACTTCCAACAGCTTCCAGGGGTGGACTGGCCCTCTACAGATCTGGGAAAGTTCATGATGGGCTGCTGCCCTTTCAGGGTCAATGGCAACCGGGAGCCTACTCCTTTTATCAGTACTGCCACAGCCCAGATCCAAAGGCCAATGGACCCAGCGGTGCTGTCAGCACCACCAGGGCTACTTGGCTCCATCTGTTCTAAAACTGCTTTAAAGTCCCAATCCACCCCTGTCAGAGACTGACTTGCTTTTGCTTTACAGATGCCAGCCTCCAGGTGGGACCTGGGGATCCCCTGGAATTACAGCTCATCTCCAGAGATCAGCTCCCCCTGAAGAAAAGGGATGCTTTGGAGGGTGGGCTCTGTGGCATTGTACCCCACTGAGGCCATTGTCCTCAGGCTCCACCCCCAAATCTCCAGGAGTTTCCCCACCTGGACGTGGCAACACTATGCCCCCCCCCCACCAGTGGCCAGGGAGGACCTGGTAGCAACCCTACTTTTGCTAGAGAGTCCTGGTTTATGTCCACTCAGTATGTTGTGGGCCCAGCTACACAGATGAAAATGAAAGAACATGGGAAACTGCAGAGAGACCCATCTGTTTTAGTAGGCTTGCCAGCCTCCAGGTGGGGCCTGGAGATCTCTCAGAACTACTATAGGTCTCCAGACTACAGAGATCAGTTCCCCTGAAGAAAATGGCAGTTTTGGAGGGTGGACTCTGTGGCATCATCATTCCCTGTTGAAGCCCCCCCCAGCCTCTATCCCCAAATCTCCAGGAATTTCCCAACTTGGAGTTGGCAACCCTATGTAGATATCCTCTTCTGAGTAAGTGTTCTGAAGACTAAGGCCTGGCCCATAAAGGCACTGATGGGCTCTGGATTGCATGGAACCCCCTAGCTGGAAGAACTGGCCTCTCCATGTTGGAGGCTGCTAGTGCTCGTTAGCAGTTTGTGCTGTTGCAGCTGGGCTGTGAAAATGCCCTGGCCTGCACCAATGGGCTTGTTTACGCAGTCTTCCTCCCCGCACAATGTGTGCCAAGCTGGGAACCTTCTGGGTGCTCTGGATGCTGCTGTGGTTGATCAGTCATGTTGGGTAGAAGGTTTCCTTCCTATCTTGTGGCAGCACCTTATACTTAGATCAGTTGCAGACAGAAGCAGCCCACAGCCCCAAACCGCACCAAGACATGACTGGAACTAAGGGAAACGTTTTCATTCCCCCCCCCCCGAAAATTATGGGGTGGCTGCAGAAATGGAAATATAGACTCCAGTACTGTGAGACTGGGATGACATGCATCCTGCACTGAATACTACTTGT